AAATATTTTTATTTTTAAATAAAATTGTGGTGAACTCAAACAAAAGCAAATATTTTTTAGAAATTTGCAATGATGCATTATTCCTGCATGCTTGAAACACAATAAAGCATTTATCTATTTTTATGATGTATAATTATTTAATGGGGGAGGGACAATTTTATGAATGCAGAAAATTCTACCAAATTAAAATTGTCTTAAGAACATCTCATAGATCAGATAAATGGATACTATTAATATCAGAATAATTTTAATGTGATATGTCAGTGATATTCAGATAATTTTCTTAAAAATCTAAGAGTGTCACCCTAAGTGGCTAAAGCACTTACAACTGCAGAGAAAAACAAATTAATTAATTAAAATGGGAGGAAATGCAGAAAACTTAATTTCAAGTGAGATATCAAAATATCTTAAGAAGCAAAAATGCATATTTAATAGGCTCATACACAGCAGAATTGTTAAAAGAGTATAACATTGGCAGAAAACTGGATTTTCTGACCAAGCAAACGCTTGATTTCCCCAAAAAATCTTTAATCTACAAAAAATAATAAATTTTCAATTACACTTTAATTAGAGTAGTAATACATATTCATACTGGGCATTATTAATCTTTACAGAGAGAAAATAGATATGCCTACAATGCAGATTTTACAAAAAATGGAAAATGTTTTATTACTTTATTATCTACAACTAGGGGAAAAATACTTATAATAAATGGTCTCATATATTACTGTGAAATGATTTACACAGAATTGGAATGCTTACACATCATAAAAAATGTATAGCTTATTAATTTTATAGAATATTAAATAAACTATATAGGCACTATGAATAAAACATTAGCTTTATTAATAACTGTTTTATATTAATAAATTTTGACAATAAATTTATTTATTTATTATATAATAAATAAAATATGCATCTTTGTACTTATATCCTGAAACAGGTTCATAATACTTAAAAATTCACAATTTGTGTCAGGACATTTTGGGATGACATTTTAAAACAGGTTAATAACCCTTAAAAATTTAAAAGTGACACTAAATGATTAATTAGTTTTAATAAATACTTAAGGAATTAAAATAATTAGTGTGTTAAAACTAAACCTACGGCAAACTACAAGAAGAAATAATTTAAAAGAAAGCAAATATGAGTATAAATTCATACGAGTTATTTTTGTTAAGAGAAATATAAATACCTGATAAAGTCCAAAATAGTGAATATTTGCAGAAACAATTTACTTGCTATATATGAAATGATTCAGCACATTATATATCTTTAATAATATGTAAAAAATATGAAGTCTACATGATATATCTTTGACAATGTGTAAAAAAATATTATAAAATCTTGATATAGCTTTGATAAATTGTAAAAAATAAAGTCAGATTGTGGAATCATAGCTTATATCTAGCTTTATATCATTACAACTAGTTTTAGCATTAATGTATTTTATGAACATAATAAGCAACAAAACCAACTAACTACTCAACAACTTTAAATTTTTAATTTTATAAAATTTGTAGGTACTTACTGATTAAAGCAAGACTGAGAATTTTGTGGTGAAATGGCAATCAGCTGCTAATAAATATATAACTCCCTGTGAGAACTATTCTGTTTTTACTACATTGTATATTATAGCACATTTTCACCATCACATGCTCTTTCATTGTATTATACGGAATTATCACATTTCACAGTGGGTGCTCTTGCAGTGTAAGTGGTTAGCACATCCAGCTAGCAAATGAAGAAATATGGTTTAAACCCCAGCAACAGCACAATTGATTTTTTACATTCTCTGCTCCAAAAAACCTAATAAACTCTATTAGCTTTGATATGCCCTCAAAATCAGTTGAGATCTATGCCAAGCACAAGGTTGTTGCTTTGCTAATTTTATAGCTTTGATATGTTATATATTTGTTATTTTCCTTCTGAATTTCTGAAATTTGCCTAACAATAAAATAGAAGCTATCAACATTTTTCAGAACCACAGAATATTGGTGAAAAATGAAGGGTATTATCCTAGAAGAAATACAATGCTGAAAAGTGCAGACAGACAATAAGAATGATAATAGGGAGCATATTTGGAGGTAGCAGGGGCCAGGCTAACAGCCATTTACAGCAGTCATTTATTTACAGTTACTGTAAGGTGTCAACATTAGCAAAATTTTCCCCAAGAACTCTATACAGGTGGCCCTCGACTTTTGCACATTTTCAACAATTCAAATTTTTAAAGATTTTTTCCAATATTTCAAGAACAGTTTGTTTCCATGGAGGGGCATTCACGCTGCACAGTACCTTGTGCTCACTCACATACAGCATCCTAGAATATCGGACTTCTCAAACTCGTTGCAGCATCAAATGGATTTCGAGATGCAGAGGCTGAAGCTGTATAATGTATTAAAATGGTTCATTCATTCATGTGCTGCATTAGGGCACATGTTGATGCATTGTGTGTTTTGTCTTTGTTTATGTTTAAATATTTTCACCTCTATAAATTTATAAAAAGCAAGATATGAAGAAACTGCAGTATTTATACAAACAAAACGAAATTACAGACTCGAAAACTTCATATGATAGAGGCAAAGACGGAAATAATTAGACGGTCTGAAAGTGGTGAATCTTTTTCTTTGATCGACTGACTGTCCATACAAAATAAACAGGTCTATAACATGTTCAATTTTGAAAAACAAGAATAAAATTAAAGAATTTCAACAATGTTTCCAAAAGACATGGCACATTGATGGATGAAATGGGAAGATCTTTATCATCATGGATTGATGATCAACATCAAAACAATGTCTGAGTTTTTCAATTATTCAAGCTAAGGCTCTTAGTCTGCTTGACAACTGGAAGACTAAATTAACAGAAGATTATGAATAACTTAACAGAAGAATGTTTCAAGTAAGAAATGGCTGGTTTGACAAATTTAAAATGAGGTATTCTTTACATAACATAAAAAAATTCACCGGAGAATTGGCTGATGCAGATAAAAATGCTACACAAGAATTTATTTCCTCATTGTCCAAAATTATTGTAAATGGAGAATATTCTCTTAGCCAAATATTCAATATAGATGAGGTGGGTTTATTTTGGGAAATAAATGCTTGATCATATATTCTTATCGAAAGAAGAATTACTTGTCCATGGCCACTAACCTAACTAATAAAAACTGATTGTCATTCCTTCTTGGTGAAAACTTAGCTGGGGGATTTAAAATTGAAACCAATGTTGGTTTATAAAGCACAAAGTCCCAGAGCATTCAAAGGGAAAGCTAAAGGATTGCTTCTAATTATTTTGAAATCAAATAAAAAGGCCCAAGTTATTAATATTTAAATATTGTTCACTTTTCATTTTGTGATGACAGCCAAGCAATATTTTAAAGATAACAATTTAAAACATTATAAGTCTTTGGCAATGCTCCAGGATACCCAAAATCTCTGCAGAATTTATACCAGGAAATAAATGCTGTGTTTCTTCCTCCCAATACTATCTATCTCATACAGCCCATGGATCAAACAGTAAAAACTATGTTTCAATGAGAATATATGGGGAATACTGAAACAGGCCATCAGTGCAACTTGTAGCAAAGGTAAACCTATATTTTTTAGAAGAACAATAATACATGGAATGTAATACACAATATCAGAAACTCATGAGCAGAAATAAAAGAGGCAATAATGACAAGTTCCTAGAAACCATTATGCTCACAAATGATAAGTAATTTTATAAATTCTGAAGAAACTGCTGAAACTATCATAAATACAAAAGTTAGCTTAATGAATGAACTAAACTTGAACGTCAATAATGAAGATGTTAATGAGTTGACTGAATTTCACTCACTAGCTCTGTCAAATAAATACTTAATTCAACAACTCAGTTTTAAGTGAAAATACACGACGAAAGTGAAAAAGAAGCCGAAAAAATTGTCAAGAATGAAGCCTTCAAGCATCTTGACAAATTTGTGACAATCATGGAAATGTGATCCCAGTGAAGAATATCTCAAGCGCATAGGGTGATTGAGAAAGACACAGTATGTTATAGAACTCTTCGTCAAAAAAACAAAATAAGGTGCTATTCAATTAACTCTCAATGAGGTTATAAAGATAACATCTGAAAGCCCTTAAACACACTTTGTTAACTTACTTATATATTAATTCAGAAGTTAAACAACAAAAATCAGCGTTAATTTGCAAAATTTTCACAGGACTAGTTTCGATGGTTTTACCGAACCATCATCTTCAGCTGCAAAACCGCAAATGCCATTTGCGGTAAACCATCGAAACTAGTCCATGTAAAACCATCGAAACTAGTCCTGTGAAAATTTTGCAAATTAACGCTGATTTTTGTTGTTTAACTTCTGAATTAGTATTTATTCGGCGTGTTATTGTGTCTTAATTACTTATATATGTTGATAAATAAAGCATTTTAATTTTCCCCCCCCTTATATCCCTCTATTTTTGAACATTCAACATCTGCACAAATTTTCCGGAACAAATTAAGTGCAAAATTCAAGGGTCACCTGTAATACAGATAAAATTATCACACACTGCAAAAATCATCTTGAAGGAAGCTCCATTACCAAAGGAAAACTGAAATCTCCAACACTGAAATTAGAACCTGTAGTCTGCAGTACCCAGATTGTTGTTTAACTTACTTTTGACTTTTATATAATAAGAACAAAATAATTTTTACTTCCTTTCTAAATCCTGTGCACGGAAAAATTCATAGATGGAACATTCTAATAAAACTGATACAGAAGAACTGAAATTATCTGAATTACCAGTGCTTCTTACTAGAGCATATAAAATTGAGCTAGTTACTTACATATACTTAATTATAATACTTAAGTATAAATATAATGCATATTAAATTGGTTTTTGTTAATTTTATTACTTGTCAGTAAAAATATGTAGTTTTATTTAAAATGCATGCACAAAATATGCATTTTTTTTTTTTTTTTTTTTTTACTGTGAAGAAATGGTTTGCCATAGTTCTGAAAATTTTAAATACTTTCATTTAATACAGAAATAAATATCAAAGCATAAAAAAGGTGCATTAAAAATACATTTAATTTACATGATAATAATATATATATATTACATTATATACAGTGAAATCTTTAATAGGCATGTAAAATTCATGCATGCAACGAATATAAATTATGCAAAATGCTATTAATAATTGACATTGGAGAAAAAAGAATTAAAAATGCAATTTTTTATAAAGTTACAACATATTCATATATTATTATAAGGCCCAATCTGGCCCAAGTGGGTACCACTGAGTAATTTCTTTACTTAAATCCAAGTTCATCAAAGGAATGACAGCTGCTCCCAGAAACTCATTTTCTTGCACTCTGTCATAGTCCCATACTGAAACATGAAGTATTCTATACCTCATTTCTTCCAATCCGTGATCATTATAAACTAACATTTCCATAAATGTAGGGTGGCAATTTTTAGACACAATTTTTGTCTTCCTTTTAGTGCGCTTAAGAGAGTCAGGAAGCAAATAAATTTTTACATATGGGTCAGGAGCAGTTCCCTTTGGTGAACTGAGATTTTTTGCATGCATTACCATAATAAATAAAGAGTTATTTTTGTGGACAATGGACAGTTTTATCTGTCCACTGATTTCAGTAAGTGAACTGCTTCTACGGGACCGAGATGAACATTTTCTAGCTTCATTCTCTTGCTCAATTCCTTCTTGATCACGAAGTAAAGGGTGGAAAAATGTATACACTAAATCACAATGAGCTATTTCTTTTGCCATGAACATAAGTGATGATAAGAAAGAACTCAGTTCTGTTCTACGTCGTTCTGCAACTTCTCGAACATTAGTTCTACCCATTAAAGGATTGCCAGGAAGAGTATGGAACTTTGCTAGAGGAAACATCATGCACAGTTTTTGGTGAAATTCTATGAATTCCCTATATGTACGGAAGACACACATTGGATCTGGCAAATTTTCACGTTCTACTTTTACTACATATATATAATACTTCTCTGGGTCATACATTTTTTGATATCCTATTACATCAGCTGAAATTATTTTTCCATCTGTCTCTTTAGAAAATGTTTTCGGTATAAAAGACAAAAGTAGGCCTTCATTATGGTCCCCTGTAAATCTCAGTTGAGCTAAATTGTGTATAAAAAAGTTAAACTGTGTAAACCAAGATTTTAGACTCTCTTGTATCATATGGGTAAAATGAATAGTTGCTTCTGCTTCACACATATTAGGCAGCAAAGCTTTTTCTATGTAATTTACAGCATTAGATGACATGCCTGGGATGTTTGATGATTTCATAAGAGTAAACAGATTAAAAAATATATTTTTATGTTTTCTTATAATATTGAATGCCTGACAACAAAGATCAATAAAATACTGAAATTTTTTAGTTGGCTTCTCTCCACCATTGATCACATATGCCATGTCAGATGTTAATACAAAAGGAGTACGGTCACGTTTAATGTTTCCAAACATCTGAGAATCACCTAAAAATTTGCCAAAATCAATATGAAAAATATGTCCTGAAGTTTTGAGCATTATATTATCATTGTGTCTATCACAAATGCCTAATATGTAAGTAGCAACACAGTACCCAGCACAGGAAAGGGTGAAATTTTCAACAGCTTGCTGGTATTCCAATTCTGATGTATTATGCTTCTGCAACCATTCCGCTATTGGACGATCTTTAAAAGACCCAGTTAGTCCTAATTCTGTTTGTATCTTACGTAAAGTCTCTGCATCAGGAACCAATTCAACCATGCCTTTCCTAAACTCTGTTGCCACACATGTGAATGTTACTATTTTTAAATCTAATCCTTCTTTAAGCCATAATTTATCCATAATACGGATCATCTGTAAAGTAATCATATCTTGCCTTAAATCATCTCCAACCTTAAATATTGCTTCATTGTTTGTTCCAGTCATATCTGGTGTATGAAATACAAGTTTCAATGGCAATGTATTAGATGTAAAATATGAGCAAGACTTCACATCTATCCCACACACTTCCAAACTAGGACTGAGTGGCAGACATGTAGGGTTTTCCATCAAGTTGTGATGAGTAATTTCTAACTCATGGAATAAAATATTTAATCTCAAGGATTCTTTTGTTGTTTTAATTCTATCAGCAATATCAGACAGATTCTCGAGTAAAGCTTCTTGCGAAGTTATGCGATCACGCATTGCACGTCCAACTATAGTAAGTAAGCTATTTAATATAAGACGCATTCTGTCTCCAGCAATAGGATCAATAAGATTTTCTTTTAAAAGCCAGTATAAATGATGAGCAACTCTAACACTGGTTAATGACCTTTCAAGGAGAAACCACGCAGTAGGTGAATCATCCCAGGGCTCATATCTCAAAATTTGAACCATCTGGGGCAAATAATCACAAAGTTCATCACTAACAATATCCTTCATCCACGTAATAGCAGTTTCTCTAATTTTTTCATTAGGAAAACATGGCATTAAAAGATGAAGTGACTCAACTGGTGATAATGGTGTCCATGCTTTTAAAAGAGAATAAATGTCAGACAGGCATGCCCAGTCCCACCCATGGGCAGACAATAATACTTTGGGTAATGCATTTGGAAACTGATGTAAATAATATTTCTTTTCCCACAGCAGTTCTTTTTCATCAGTATGCAATGCCCTTAGAGCATCTTTTTCAATAATTCCTTTTAAAGTGTTCTGAAGATGAGTTTCTAAATTTTCAAATGCCCTCATCTGAGATGATGCAAATTTATTATCAATGACAGGCGGAAATTTAACAATACATCCAAAATCTGGCAGGCGAACATGAAGAAGTGGACAGTTTGTGTTAGGGTTAGATAATAAAGGTCCACTATTTTTAATAATTTCACAAGGCCAAAATCCTAGCAAGTAACAGCCTTGTGCTAGATGTCCTTCATATGAAAATAATCTGATTCCACACCAACCAATAGGAATTTTATTTCCCAAATTATTGTTGGATTGCTTTTCATTCTGATTTAGGTTATTACCCCACAAAGTAAAATACAATATAGATTCTCGAGGTAATGTGCACATAGCTATATTTTCAAATTGTAACCAATTTTCAAAAACAATTCTGGGGAAAAATTTTTTTGTTACAGATGACACTTTAGATGTAACAGATGCTAGCACTGCATCACCATGGTGTATTTCACATATTAAGAAATAACTATCATATGCAGATATTATATTAGGTTCCAGCCTATGTACAATACCAACTTCAAACAAAGGAGTATCAAGAAAATCTGTAACCATTTTCTCGGGATAAGTAACATCATGCATCTCAACTGCAAAATTTACTCTGAAAGCTTTGGCATACATTACAAGTAAATCATGCACAGCATGCTTTAAGTGTGATAAACTCAACTCCAAAAGCCTAAACATATCAAGGAAATCACCTTCGAATTCCTTAGTTTCCTTAGTTCTTCCCAAGTTACCAAGCTCTGGCAAAGTATCAAAATCAGTATCATCAGTTTTATCAAACAGCAAACATACTTGAATAAAAGCAGCTATAGTATCTGTAATTTCTGAAGTCTCTACATGAGATAACAAAGTACAAATTGCTTTAACAGCTTGAACAACTCCTTGAGGTTTTAACGAATCTAAGCTTTCAAATCTTAAGGCACTTGATTTTATTTTTTCAATTTCTTTTTCTAATGTATCTAGCAAAATATTTAAAGATTCATAAGAAATAACATCCTTCTTTAAGGATGGAGCTATGTCTTCGTATTTGAAATCAGAATCATTAACATCATCAATTCTGGTACGAGCTAGTGGCCTTTTTAGATCCTTGATGTCAGTTAAAGTCAAACATACAGGCTTATCAAATTTATGACATTGATGAACATATTCATAATCAGCTAGAGTTGAATGTGAAGTGAAATATTCTGATAAACCTTGAACTTTCAGAACAAAATTATCCATACACAGTGAATTAGTATTATCAAAGACAGAACAAACTGTATGACTAATTATATGCTCTATACTAGTATTGACATCACAGGTAAAAGACACTGGTCTTTCTGAATTAGCAGATGTTATTATTAATTTAATACTTAAAGAATCTTCTTGATAACTATCAAGAGTAGGACTGATAACCAGACCAGCATTTGTAACATGATCATCATATGGAAAATCCTGTCGCAGTTTTTTAAGTTTTGTGCAGAAAGATATAAATTCTTTACTGTAATTATCATTTCTGTGGGTAATCTTTAAAACATCATTCACCATCTGACTATTACATTGATCCTCTACATCTTGTCTTTCTTCATAGATTTCTTTTGGAATTGTCTCAATGGGTGATTCCTGCTCAATTTTAGATTTTGGAGGTGACTTTTCAGAATAAGATATATTAAAGTTATCAACTTCATCTTTGACAACATTAGTACTTTTGCATTCTGGTGAAATTGGATTGCTATCTTTTGTTAAAGGATCAAACAGCCTCAATATATCTTCATGACATTTTGCTGACATATTGCTGAACTTTGTTTCATTCTCACCACAATATAAATCAATCAAATTACTATCACTTCTTTTTTTCATATATTTTAAAATACTTTCCAAATTGGCATGACTATTGTTAGAAACTGTAGCATTATGGTTGATTACTGCATAAGAAGTTTTAGAAAAATTATTTCCATTTGGCAAAAAATATCGCTGACTAGGTAACATGGCAGTAGAACTTAAAACATTTGGTGTAGATTTGCTGTGCTGGATATCAAATCCTGCAGATATACCAGTTCTGAAATTACTTTGATACATAGAATTTGAAAAAGCAAGAGCTTGTTGACCCCCACCAGATGGTACAGGAGTATTACAAAATGGTATATTTGAATTGAAATTACAATGCATGGATGTGCTTGCACTGCCACCAGCTGACGATGAAACATTTCTAAAAAGGTTATTATGTTCCATGGTCTGAGTATTGGTAGTCACAATAGTGGAATGACTCCTAGTAAATGTATGTAAATCAGCACTACTTCTGTAAAGTTGGCCAGTTCCTGGAGGTGGAGGAACCAATGACAGTTCATTATTCTCGGGAATCAAAGGTTGCAATTTTCCATTAGCCTGGCGAGGTGGCAATGGGGGAGCTGCAAAATATTTTAAAAAAAAAAAGAAAAGAAAAGAAAAGAAACTGTCATAAATAAAACCAGTTTAAAAATTAAACATGAAATTATACGGTTTTGATTACTTTTATGTTTAGGGAAGATCATAGTTTTCAACCTTCAAAAACTTTTAATATTCCCCCCCCCCCCAATATTTTTTAGTCTCCATTACATGTTAGGTTAGGTTATTTAATTACGCTAAAGCCTCGAGGGCTATCTGCCTAAGCGGAGTGATGCCTTCGTGGAGGACTTTCTAAGGGAACTGGCTCGTATACATGTTACACATGGGAAAAACCACAAAAACACCCATGCAACCAGCCCGTTCGCTGGTTTCAAACCTCGGACTGAACTACAGGTGTTCAGCGACTTTACCGCTCGGCTGCTGGTGGCCTCCTCAGTTACATGTCATCACATGTAATTGTTATCATTCTTATCAACTACATGTTATCATACAAGCAATAAGAAAATTATAAAATAAAGAAAAGTAACTGAATATCATTCAGAGAATGAAAAAATGGAATTGAATAGTGAGTTTTAGAAATTGGATGTAACAACAATACTACAATAAGCCTTTTGCTTGAAGGTAAAATGATAAAAATAAACACAGCCAATTCGCAACCAAGTACACCAAAATGACAAACTCAAAAACAATTTTTGAAGTGAATTTTTTCCTCCTTCTGCTTCAGACGGCAACACACTTTTTTTAAATGTAGAAAATTGTTAATCAAATATTTTCTTTAATTATTCTCGTTTTAAAAGAGCATGAAAAGTTTGTTTTATAGCCTATGAAAATTTAAAAATTTTATATTTATTTTATTAAAAAATAAATGTTAATGAAAAAAGTATTTTTAGCCAATTTAATCATTTAAGTGATTATTCACAGCATGCATGCGGAACAAATTATCTGACTAAACTTCATCCCTGTGGGACAAATATTTTCCCCATTATGACTTAACTTCATCCCTGTGGGACAAATATTTTAACCATTATTTGAAAATTTTAAATTATCAGACATTCATTTTCTCAAATCATAACAATTTCCTGCTTGTATGTTTCTTTACATTAAATTCGAGTATATTGTACAGTCAAAAGTCATTAATTCGGACACCCATAACACGGAATGATCTATAATCCGGACCTCAAAGCTACAAACTTTCTGCATCGCGTTGACGCATGCGCGTAAGACCTTTACGGCTGCGCATAATACGTTTACACATGCGAGTTTAATGTATAACGGACAGTATAAGCTAAAATCATCTAATTATCTATTTCAGTTAATGTTGCAGATTGCGTTGTTCCTTAATCTTCGAACTGGATCCGGCATATTATTTTTTGTAGACTGTTAGAGCAATTTTATAAAAGTAAGCTTGAACTTTCGATTATGTCAAACAGAATTTCCGATGCTGGAGCTCCCAAAGGATCTACAAAACGAAAGTATGTTTCGATGTCCATCAAACAAAAAGTGGAATTGCTGCAAAAAATGGATAAAGGCATATCCTTTGTTTCTCTAACCATTCCTGAAATCTGTTTATCAATTTCACTCTGCTCTGCGGCGGAGGGGGGGAGGGGGGGGGAAACGCCGAGGCACACAATGAATTGGAAGTTAATCTGTCAGCACTATCCTTATCTTCAGGGCAGATGTTTTTATTTTATTTGACTTATAATTCCTTACTAATGTAGTATTTCATCTCGATGTACTCCATCTTTGATATGATTTAAATCGAATTCCTTGTCATTATAATTCGCTTCCGATAAAGAAGAAAGTGATACAGAAGTTATTGAAAACGAAAAAATTTCGATTGACAAATTAGTTGGTATTCTCGACACAGCAATTATAGGACTTGAACAGCGGAACTTTGTAACTGAACAAGAAATTATGCAACTTGAACAATTTACATTGAAAGAAATGTTTAATAAAGTAAACAAATAAATATTAAGCTTTTTTTTTTTTTTTTTTTTTTTTTTTTTTTTTTTTTTGTAAATTTTGATACTTTTTAGATCATAATCGTTCTTTAGTTCATAAATTACGGTTTCATATTTTTAATTTTATAATTTCTGCATGCCATCTTACCAGATTTAAACTGATGATCTATAATCCGGAAAAATCGATAATCCGGAATCGCCGAAGTCCCGACGAGTCCGGATTAACCGACTTTTGACTGTATATATTATAAAAATTACATATTTTCCTTTATTTATGCATTTTCTTCAATTAATATTGCTTAAATTCTTTGGTTCTGTTTTGTTATCTGGCCCGAATTCAGATATGGGCAAAAGTTGATGATCTGGTGAAAAATTCGAAGCATAAAAATAATCTCCAAAATATTTATATGATATGATTAAGGTGAAGAAAAATATAATGTAAAATGTAATATAACAGATATTCGTAAAATTAGAAATTTTTAATGTACATTAAACAAGTTGCCAGAGAAATCAGAAAAGAAAAAAAAATTGATTAGAGAATTAAGATTAACATAGAGGCATGAAACTATGCACATCATTTAAAATGTCAGAAAACATGTATGGTTTAGAACACTTTTGCAGCCACATAAGCTCAATTAAATAAGAATCTAAGTGGGTGCAGTCAGTGCTGCACTGACATTTATTTCGTCATTTCGCACTGTCCTTTTACCTTTCAATTGTTTGCATGTGACAACCAATAACAGGTTCGATAAAATTATATTTATGGTTAACACAGATATGTTCAAATCAAGCCTCTCTTAGTTCTTCGGTGTAATATCCTTTCCAACAGCCCAAGTATAGATATTATAGTGCTGTCAATAACATTTTCTTCAATAACTTGAAGAAAAGGTTTGGCAAAGTGGTTATGCACAACAACTAAAAAACATTCTTTTGTTTCTCAGCAAATCCTGCTACACAGCCACTGGGGTGGAGGGATACAACCAATTTTTTTTTCCCCCACGTGTAAACAGACTTCTGTTAACTTGGGCAATATTACCAGTGCCGCTTATTTTAACCAACTATCTAGGCATTAATGCATGGCCGCAGACTTCCCTAATATAAGTGTTCCAATCAACAACAGTGCAATGATTCATATAAAATTGATGCTGACAAAATTCAAAGGAAATTAATTCTAAACATTATGCAAAAATAACACGAATTGACGTTAAGAAACAGATTCTAGATCCTTCAAACCAAGTTTGAGAACATAAACATTTTTTTGCTCTGCACATCAAATTTTCACATCTCCATTTCAGTGTTTCCTTCAAATTGAAGTAGAGCTTCATTTTATCAATTTTTCTCATGCACTTTCTTACAGAATGAATAATTCCTCATTCCTGCAGAAACTGTATGGAAGATATGTCATTATTAAGCCCCAAATTTTCAAATCCATGGTAAATACAATAATACACTGGTTATCATAAATTAAGGAAAAATCACAAAAATAGCGATAACTTCCCTCAAAAATAAGCCAAACCATGTAAAATTTGAATATGTTGCCAAGTAAGAGTAGCTGAGTAAAACTGTGATATGCAAATTAGTGGCGCTGCTTTCGGAATACGTCATCTGCAGGGAGCATAAAAGTCCATGTTTGAGAACAAGCCCACATATTTCACTGTGATAGTGACATCAGAAATCTGAGATAGCCGATTCGTAACAATGATCTCCAAGCAACATTTGCCTGCAGAACTATGATAGAAAGCCATTGGGAGACTAGAGGCAGGACAAAGTCAAATAGAAATGGCCAGTAATTTGTTCATTTTAAATTAAAGCCATTTAATCATTAATTAAACATATCAGAATTGTCTGAAATAAATGTCAGTCTGTTTACAAATTCTGCATTTAGCCCATATGCAATTTAAATCATTGGTATAAGCAATAATAAGAATTCTGAATAACAAGTAATGAAAAATATTATTTCAATTAAAGTAAACACAATGATTAAATTAGAAGAATTAAATACATTTTATGGACCACTTTTTTTTTACTATTACTCTCGCTGATAATGTAAAATCTAGGGTAATGTACATGGTTTGATTTATTGAACTTTGGAAGAATTTTTATGTATGACAAACTTTTGATAATATCACACACAATAGTGGTAACTGAAAATAAATTGAGATATTGTAGTAAATTTCAAAGTTTTTAAACATAATTTCACGCATGGACTTTGTGGAAATGTTTAAATATCTTTTTACTTTACGCTTTACATTTTCTTACTGTCCGTACCCTTCTCTCCATATTAACACTATTCCTAAATATCATTAACTTGTAAGACAAAGGCCTCAAAGGCTCTGCCACAGAAACTGATTCTAAAAAAGGGTCAGCAAGTCAAAAAAGTTGCTTTTTCTATTTGAACTTAAAGGAGGTGAAAAAATTTGTTTTTTACATTAACCTTAAGTTAATCATATAAACTTATTTTTATTTTTTGTACTTAAATAAATGAAGAAAATACTTTTTACTTGTATAAAATAAAATGCAGTTTTGTTCAACTAATTAAATTATTTTTTATGCTGCTATAAAAAGCAATAAAATTAACACTATAATTTATATAACTAAATTTTTGCACTATTTATTGTAAATTTACTAAATTAGAAAAAGTCAAGAAAGGTTGCTTTTTTTATGTTTTTAAATAAAATACATAAACAACTCAACAGGCCTAATTTGACCTAGGAAGAATAAGCAATACTGATAACTGGAGTTCTATTGTACTATAATAAAAAAAATTCTATTAATACCAATTAAAAAAATCATAAAATATGTTTCAGCATTTAAAATTAGCATTCAGTGAGCATAAGAAAATGAAATACATGAAAGTAAAAACAATAAAAAAGCATAAAAATTACCTTGCAGTGAAGAATCAAAAAATGAAATGAAATTGTCACTAAAGCATGCTCCTGACTGAGAATTAGTAGTAAATAAATTTTCACTTTCAGACTTCCAGATCTGCTGGTCAGTAACCCCATTACCTCTCATCCATGAATTGGAATTGCCTTTTGGAGGAATGGGAGGAGCAGCCATATTCTACATCAAATGAACTGATGCATGAAATTTAACAGCACTATAACTTGCATCAGTTAACACATACAATCTTCTGCATAACATCTTTCAGTAAAAAAACACTATTTTCACACAACATACAGGTGCAACCTAAAAATAAAAAAATATGCATATATCTACGTGGTTACAAAAAATATTCGTAGGCATACATGTTGTAATGAAGTAAAATATTACACTACTTAAATTTATGGAATTTACTACATTTTTAACTTAACTTTTACCAGCATCATATTTTGCAAATACTTATACTTTGTAATTAATTATACATAAGTACAATTACAAAACTTTTTTTTAAACAAAATATAATCATGTCTAGAATTTTCGTGCATTAAGCTGCTGAAAAATTATCAGTAAAGACATAAAATAAGAAATTTAGAACCAATTTTTCACAAAGACCAAAAGCTGATATTCCTAAGTAATAAATTTCAAATAATACTATAAATGCAATAAAGAATTTAATGTGTTAAAACCAAAACTCTTCAAACAAGTGATACCTCAATTCAAAAAATCAATGAAATTTAAAGAAAAAGGAACACAATAGAAGAGGAATTCAATCAACTTCAATGCCACTTCATCAGGAGCAGCACATAATCCAAAAAATTTAAAACGTAAGTGAAATTACAATACTTTAGTAAAAAGTATAACTTAAATAAAAACTCCTAAGAAGTAATTAAAAACTTCAAGCACTTTCATTCAGAACACAATCGAAACTATGAATAAGATAGTTACAGTGGTCAGGTTTATAAGTTTGCCATTTTGCCTTCACTGGTGAAACTAAAATACTGTGGCCAGAAGGTAATCGCTCAAAAGGCTAAAAATTGGAACAAAAGATGAATTTTGGAACCAAAATAAAAACTTTCTAATACTTCTATTAAAAATTTAATATTGAAAAAGAAAAAGATTACTTTACTAATTAAAATGAAATTTAAGCAAATTCTGACCTTTTTTTGTATATATATATAACAAAAAGGGAATAAAAAAATGTAATTCAGTGTAAAACTTTAATTAAATTTTAGAATCAATTATTCTTTAAAATTAGTAGACTCAAAAAGGGTACTCAAAACGTGGTAACAAGTTTTTAATAATGGAAATGAGCAGAAAAATCCATAAAATTAAATTTTAGACTTTTTAATTTTTTTATTTAAAATTACAGAAAAAGGGAAAAGAAAGCTTGAAAAAGGAAGTACAAAACTAGTGTTAGAAAAGAAAAAAATCTTCATATCATGGGCTCATCATGACAACTTTGAATACAGGAAGACCTTGTTTTAATAATAGAATAGTAATTAAGAGGGGAAAATAAATAAATAAAAACCTATAAACTCTTTAAAACATCCTTCTCTTTGGAGGTTTTAGATAAAAAAATTCATACTTTTAAAAAGTATTATAGGTCGTAGACTACTCTAGAATTTTTTTTAAAAGACTATTCATGAATTTTATAGAAATTTCATTTTCTTTTAAAATTTTGTTGAGCATTAGAATTTCTTCTTTTTGTGTTTCTATTTCAGTGTAAACTTTTTTAATTCTGCTAATTTGGTTTATAATACTACTATTTGCAATAACTGTTTTATATAAGTTGGAGTTCCAATTTATAAGTTTAATAGTAGAAAAATTCAAATCTTTTCTTTTATCAAAAAGTTTAATTTCTTTAAGCTTATGAATACTTAGATAAAGTATTTCTGTTTGGTTTTTTATTGGTCTTATTAAGTTTTAGACAGCTTGGGTAGATGTTGCTTACTACTGTCGATGAGATTAATAATTGTTGAAAGTATAATAATTATAATTAATTATAATAATTATAATGTTGAAGTAATGTCATCAATATATCTATAAGTGTGTTCAAATTTACTGAAATCATTATCAGAAAGGCTCTTTAGGAATTTGAATTCTTTAGAAAATAGAAATAAGTTACAAGGATGAGTTGAATATGAGCTTCCCATTGGAATTCCTTGTGTTTACAGGTAAGGAAATTTTGAATGTTTAATATAGTTATTGTATAGACAAAAATGTAGAAATTCTTTCCATTTTCGTAAATCTAGAATATTAAGTATTGTTACAAAAAGTACAGGCGTGGTAAGATAGCTTCCCTGCAATGCAGTTTTAGGGTTGCCACAAAATGGCAAGGGAAGGCAGCATTGCCATATTTGGCAAGAAATTGTCCATTTGGCGACAAAATTGGCGATATACCATGGACGGATGGAGAATTTTTTGAAACGAGTTCTTACTGGTTTAGCCCAGAATGTTCTCGAACACAAGCTGAAAGCTATATAAACCCTGCTGGTCTGCAGTCAGTTAGTGTCTCTCAGTGTATGTGCCTCGTCTAGCTAGTTAGTCATTGAGCGAGTGTCTCGAAGTCTAGCGCCGAGTTGGTCATCGAGTGCATCGAGGGAGTCTTTTAGTACATCGCGAATTAGTGCGTCGTCGAGTTTTGTCTTAGACTGTGCTGAGTTGAGAGCTATACTCTTGTGTATCGTCGAGTGCATTGCGAGTTGTAGCATGGAGAGTCTCGAGAGTACGTAGAGTTCCGAGAACGACCAAGCAGAGTCAGGAGCTGTACTCTGGTGCTTTGCAGGAAGCTGTCTTCACCGTTATTGCCTGACAGTGTGAAGGCTGTGTTGCTGATTGTTCCAGCGTGTTTATAGTAGTTCATAGACAACTGTAAAACGTGCTTTGGAGCTGTCCTGACAATACTGACTAATAAAGTGTATTTTGATACTTCATCAAGTGTCATACATTATGTCGTCATACATTATTCACTCCAAATCTACGAACCCCGCAACAGTATTTTAGGAAAAAATTTTGTCATTTCTAAAAGACTTTCATAGATTTCTTGAGTGGTACAGATGTGTAGAAGTAGTTCATAATAGTTAATATCGTAAATTTTAAGATTTCTAACTTCTTCAATGATTTTCAAGTTGTCGTAAATAATTCAGCAGAAGCTTTTATCAGCTTTAACTTGTTCAAAAAATATCAAGTTTTAAGTAGATTGGTAAAAAAATTATCAAAATTCTTCTTGAAGTCTCTAGTACTATTGGCTATAAATCTAAATTCGACAGGATTTTTATGAAATTTTGGTAAAGCATAAAGATAGGCAAATTTGTTATTTGCAGTGAAAAAAGAGAAAAATAAAGTATACCTGTGACAGAACACAAGAAACAATCAACATTCATGCAGTCTAATTAATGCATTAAATAGCAAAGCCCTTTGCAACACAGGAGGGTAGAATAAAGAAATAAAAGAATCAGGTCTCTGAAATTTGTTTCTTTACAATACCTTTCAGTATGTTATTTTATTTTTCAGTGCTTAAAAACATCTTAGTGTCTAACAGTTAAATACAAAATATCAGGTATGGGACAAAATATTTTTTTAATAATTTTATTTACATTATTTTATCTTCCAATGCATATTGGCAGCATTGATGCTATGTCAAATATCAGAAGCTCCATAGTTTTTTTAACTGAAAAATTTGTTGCTAAGGGACATCTAAAAATATCTTTAATAAAACTGCTTTATATTTCTATATGAGCAATGAAACCTGATGAATTTTCTTTAAAAACACTGAAAGCCAAGGAAGAACAGACTACACAAATTTAATAAGATGAAGCCCAAAGTATTTTTGTGTACATAACTTTCACAGATTCAGCTATTATATTAATAAGAAAAAGCATACATGTAAGAATAAAAAATAGCTTTTGTAACATCCTCTAAAAGTATTTTTAATTTAGCTATTTCTTCATTCTATATTAAAAATAATAAATATTTCTGAAATATGTCATTCCAAAATTAATGCCTGTCAGATGATTCTTATACAACATATACACCTAGAAGAGACTAAAAAATGACAGTTAAATCCTTACTTCAATAAACTAAAATCAGAACTTTTACTAACCAATAGTAATGAGGTCATTTATCAAGACCAATGGTAATAAATGAAATGAATTCTTTAATAGCCAATAACAATAAGATCATCTGTATTAATTCTATCAAGGAACTAAGCAACTTCGTCATTTCTTAATCTGTCCTAATAATACAATCTTCCACTCTCTAACGCTGTCTATTGCTTCTTGAACATGTTATCTACAAGCTTTCTCTTTATTGCTGGTGTAAAGCTGTAAATACATGAAATGTAGGTTTGAAATTAGTCATCAGTAGATGGAACCTGTTTTCATACTTGAATGGCTTTATTATGTTCAGGATTCTACAAATTATAAAAGATGAACTGTGAATATAATCTAAAAATTATATAAAGAAGATCTGTGAAACTGCTAAATCAAACTATAACTTCAAGAAAAAATTTCTCCATCATGCACCCACCTCCAGTATCATCACTTTTTCCAATTTCTACATTGCATCCTAAATACTCATCTCTCTCTTACACAGGCATATTTCAAGAAAAAATTTCTCCATCATGCACCACCTCCAGTATCATCACTTTTTCCAATTTCTACATTGCATCCTAAATACTCATCTCTCTCTTACACAGGCATATATGTACAGGCATATATACACAGTCCAGTCACATTAATGTGACCACCATGTACTTTCCATGTCAGGGTTAAATAACCAATCACAGAAGGCAGGTGGCAGCACAGTGCAGTTGAGCGTATATAAAGGGTGTGTGAGGGCTTCGGAAAACATTTCAATCGTTGGCGTAATGCAGAAACGAAGCGATTTATCCGACTTCCAAAAGGGCATGATCATTGGCTTTCGGGCCAAGGGTGGAAGCATTTACGAAACGGCTGAGTTTGTGAACTGTTCGCGTGCCGCCGTGGTAAAAGTGTACCGTGCATGGCAAAATGGGACTGTCCAAAATCAGCGACGTGGCAAATGTGGTGCACCACGGGCCATAGATGACAGAGGCGAACGACGGTTTGCGGAGATGCGTTCGGGCAGAGACGGGCTTACCGTTGAGCAACTGACCACCAAAATAAAACAAGGGGCTACCAAAAAGTGTCTCCCAAAGTACTATTCAGCGAACATTGCTGCGTCTGGGCTTCCGAAGCAGACGCCTGGTTCGTGCACCCTATGCTGACTGCTGTTCATCGACGGCGAAGGCTAGAATTTGCACGCCAGTACAGCAGCTGGACGTCCAC